GATTTAACAAACTCCTCTTCCTCCCTGCTGTGGATAGACACCAGGTTGGCTCGCTGTGACACACAGTAGAGCTCTGCATCAGCCCAGCTCATGTGTGTGGCCACATCCCCCACAGAACGGGGGACAGCTTCCATGCAGTAGTTGAACTCTGTGGTCATCTGAAGAAGACACAGCAGTCAGAGCTCGATGAAAAACAAATAACTGTTTTTGCCAGTGTGACTGACATTTTTTTCTTTGATCTAACCTCTGAAGAATATCAGAAAAGCACGTCTGCACAGCTGACATGGTGAAAGTTTAAAAAATGCAGAGAAATAAGCTGCTCTTATTATGTTTATTAGCAGGTCTTTATCATAACTCTACAGTATAGTAGAACTTCTCTGACACGGGGGGGAATCTATGTTACAATGAAACACCAAGAATTTTGTATCACTGACTGCTGAAACAGACAACAGAAAATCTTGGAGTATTTGACTAAATTGTGATTAAGATAATAAAAAAAACCCCACAAACATAAAGTTAAATAAAGGAGGGGAAGGAAGAGTCAGAATATAGGATGGTTACCATGTTGTAGCTTCACTTCACTGCCATCAGAAGGAGACTCAGAAGGAGCACCCAGAGCCAGACTGAACAAGAAGAGGAGCAAGATCATGTTGGAGCTTTACGTCTCAACCTTTGATGAAGAGCTGCTGAAGCTTCTTTGTACAGGATTTCTGCAGAGAGGTGGAGCTGCTTTCTTTTATAGCTGCCTGAGAGGGAGTTTTCACCGATCACTGTGATATCATTGACCAAATGGAACAAAACTCTCCACAGTAAACATCACTAACACCGGGCAGTAAACACCATCAGATTCTAAAGAAATTAATAATTGCTGAACAGCCACATCCTCCTGGCAGACTCAGAAGAACGTGACTGTTTTTGCTGTAATTCTGCATTCATGATATGATCAAAGGCCTTTTCAGCATAATGATTAAACAAACATGAAAGGTCAGAGTTGTAACAAGAAGACAGCAGCTCACAAGCTCTAGTTATGGCCTTCTCTAATAAACAAATGTAGAACAAATACTCAACGTTAAAGAGGACTCAGCACCCAGAGTCACCCAAACAACCTATTGCTGTGCAACACTTTCATTTTATCAATTTAAAGTGATCCAGAAAAACAAACAAACAAACAAATGCATGATGAAAATATCTGTTTAATATAGTATTACAGAGTTCTTAAATTTCAGTACTCCAGCCTTGCCCTTCTGTACTTCTGTTTAATTAATAAACATATTAATTAGGATATATTAATATTAACATTGCTAAATTTATTGTGGAGGGACGCTACATGCCAACATAACATCAGGTTAACTGTCTAATGTTGAATTAGCGTCTTGGTTTCTAAACACAGGCACTGCGTTTTACACAAACAGAGGGATAACCACGAGAGCATGGTTCATCATTCCACTTCTTAACAGGACCAAAGTTGTTTTGCACACAGTGTTCGTTTTTTCCCAGGTTGTTTGGCTCGCCTGCAAGCCAGTTAAAAAAGCGTACCACAGAGCCATCAGACCACATCCATCTGCCCTCTCTGTGAACATCACTGAGTCCAATCCAAGAGGCTCTCTGAGCAGGATCAAAGTTCCTGATCAAGGATCTGACAAAGTTCTCTTCCTCCATGTTGTGGATGGACACCAGGTTGGCTCCCTGTGACAAACAGTAGAACTCTGCATCGGACCAGCTCATCGGTGTAGCTACATACGTATAGCAGCGGCCGTTGAAGCTCCACCAGAACGTGGGACAGTTTCCATGCTGCAGCTTCACTGCTCGGTCATCTGAAAAAGACAGAAACAAGAAGAGGAAAAAGATCATGATTTGTTTTTTAGTAACAGAAGAAACCTGATCTGTACTGCTAATATCCTAAAGGTGAGACCTGGTGTCAGGCTGCTTTTCTGTATGTACTTCAGGGAATAGAAAGAAACATTACATATTAGCTTCACTGCATCAGCTCCCTGCTAAAATTTAAAATCCTTCTCCTGACATACAGTGTATTAAATACTCAGGCTACATCTTATTTTAAGAGCAATGGGGTACTTTGCTCTCAGTCTGCTGGTTTACTTGTGGTTTTGAGGGTAATTGAAAGTAGAATGGGAGGCAGAGCCTTCCACTTTAAGCCTCCTCTAATGTGTAATCAGCCAGTTTGGATTAAGGACACAGATAATCAATAATCTACTTTTAATATTAAGCTTTTCTTTTTGATGAGGCCTAAAGTTCCACCAGTCACAGTAAATGGCTGCTCCTGTCTGAGCCTGGTTCTGCTGGAGGTTTGAAACGTGGAACCAAATTAATGCATGTATCCCCAATTACACTAACACATATTTATCCTGAGCAAAACAAAACAAGAAACATGATAAAGGTGCATTTAAAATCTATTATTTGCTAAATAATATTAAAAAGATAAAAACAAATGCACAAAAAAAAGTTACCAAGTTGGAGCTTCACTTCATTGTCATCAGAAGGAGACTCAGAAGGAGCACCCAGAGCCAGACCGAGAAGGAAGAGGAGCAAGATCATGTTGGAGCTTTAAGTCTCAAAGTGTGATGAGGAGCTGCTGAAGCTTCTTTGTACAGGATGTTCA